TCCTCCTCCGGGCCTACGTCGAAGAGCACCGAGTGGCTCACATCACCTTTCGTCGCGGTCTGCGAAGACTTAGCGTCGCTCTGAAACTTCGTCTTATCGACGTCGACTTACCACTAGTATTGACAAGCCGTGCGCAGAGCAGCAGATGTCTTCCATTCTCAGCTCCTTCTGAGCATCACCCCTGTCCTGGAGGTCGTGAGGGGAGCCCGCGGCAAGGCTACCCATGAGGCCGGAGACGTGGACGGTGTCTGGCGCGACGGGCGACAAGGGGTCAAGCTCATTGTCTATGATGACGAGTGCTTCGAGAGAGTCGATCTCTACGAGGTTAGAGCTAGGCATCTTGCTTATATTGGACGATGTGTCGATGAGGAAAATCTTGTTGCGTGGAGGGGTAATCTTAGAGGGGACATGCAGGTTGCAGCAGGTGAAGGCTAGGCCTCGGGGTGCACGAGGCCCTGTCTGATAGTGTCACTCTAGACTACTTGATCTTTGGGAAGAAACGATTCTTGGTTTATTTACTCAAAATTCAATGGCGAAATTTCAGTGTTGGATACTCGTTCCGTGCACCTTTAGAAATATATATTTCTGCTTATTACCTCATACTGAGGTCGGACTTTGACCCACCTACAGGATCCCTAGAATTCCATCATCACCCTATTACAAATGCTCCAGCCAACATAGAGTACGGTGAGTTTATATGCTGTATCATACTCAGACCCTCTTCTCGTAACATTTCTAGCTCCTCCTGGATCACACGTATCGAATGTCCAAAGATGCCACTCGCTTCTTGAGCTTGACGCTCGTAGGCTGACAAGAATCTCCACGAGGAGTCCCTGATGCATTTTTCTACCCTGCCGTCCTCGCTATCTGCTGAAACAAGGGCTGTTTGCCGTCAGGAGAGGACTAAGGGCTGTATCTGGACAAGTACTGAAGCCGAAGACACAGAGAACACCAAGCACATCAACACAGTCTGCAGCTGCGCCAGCAAGTGTAAGAATAAGAGCGGAAGGCTTCTGTTGATCGTACCATGGCCCCGGTAGCGAGATCGTTCTCCGTATAGTAGTAGTAGTCAAGGAGTTCATGGCAGCCTCAGTGGGCATAGCCAGCTGGCGTCATGAGGCTTTGGCCCTGCGTCAAGTTTCCATTATCGCTCATACTTATGACGAGCAATACTAGCGGAGCCGAGCAAATTGCCTTGCTGCAGCGTGTAATCTGTTGGCGAAGTTGGTGAAAGGCTGTAAGCTGGTTCCTCTTAGGAAGGCAAAAAGGGTAGAGTATTCTGCCCCCTGGAGTCAACGGTACCAGATATTCGCAGATTCTGCTCGATTTGACATAACTTTGAAGGAGAAAGCAATTGCCATACCGCAATTCCTGTAGTTTAGTGATGGGAAAGCGTGCAGGGACACAGACGGGACTCCAGTGCGTTGTCTCCTGAGCCTGATKGTGCAACCAGTAGAGTGCTCAAAGAAAAGCAGCAGACTTCGGAAGCTCAGTGAGGCTTTTGATATGTGATGAGCAAGTGCACGAAGTGGCTCGTGGATTTTCTAAAAGGGACCATCTCTGGCTGAGAAGCTTCAATTCATAAGTTCATAACAGCATCTTGGTAATTGTTGAGAGGAACCCCATACTCCCTACTGCGGGGAAATCCGTAGCAACGATCAATCTCCAATCTTTGGCTCAAGGCTCAAGCAAGATTCAAACAATATGACCACGGTTACTAGTAAGTCGATAACTCCATCATTCATCTTCCTTTCTGATTTCTTCCAGTCCATCCAACCTGACTGTCCACCGCAGTGGATGAACCTACCCGCAATGCGCTTCCTCCTCCCCGTAATCCTCCTCCTGCTCAGCGCATCCACCACTGCAACCGCCAAACTCGCCCCAACATGCTTCAAAGTCGTCGCCGCACTCGTTAGCCGACCAGGCGACCTGTACGAGAAATTCCAGCGCGAAATCTGCGACAAGGGCTGCCAGCCGACCGTCCCACACTGGGACCTGTGGACACGCAACAACACCTTCCTGCCGGCCGTCCGCAGCGTGATGAAGCGGTTAGATGCACCCCGACAGGAAGAAGCGATGGTGCGATTGGGCGATGATGCAGCGAAGATCATCAAACAGCGGTGCGGTCCGATGCTTGAGGGCAAACATATCTGCTCGGACCCGGAGACACTGGCGGCGTTTGGGAATTGCTTCAAGAAGACCTTTGTGCGGTCGGCTATTACGAATCTACCGGCGCTGTTGCCCATGGTGTCGGAAGAGCTGTGTCAAGAGCAGTATGCATATCTCAAGGATGATCAGTTGTGGGAGGAAACGATTCCGAATAATATGAGAGAGTACGCGGCTGTTTGTCGGGATTTGGGGAATACGGGGAATACGGAGAGTGTACAGGGGCAATTGGATGAGGGGAGTCATGACAATGATGAATTATAGCCTCAGGTTCCTTTTTAATTCTACATACCCCTGGTTATGATAATATTAATGACAACTGGAGTCGTTGAATTCTATCCGAAGTTAAGGACGAGGTGTGTCTCCGATGACGAAAGCGACGGCACTGACCGCCAGGAATTGTTCCTCTGTTGTCATGTCAGCGTTGTCAGCTTATTTTTGCTTCTTCTTTACCATAATGGAAGTGTCTGTTCGCTGCGGACTTCCATCTTTTCAAGACCTCTGTTGATGTTATCTGTCAACGCACCATGAGACACTGGACATCTTGATGTCGCTGTCCTCTGTGTCCTTCATTCGAATGGCGTCGCGAATGACGTGCGCTTCCCGCTTGATGCGGCCCAACCCCATCGTGTCTCACGGCCATCGACGCCTTCCTGCGCCCTTCCTACAGTCTTCTCCTCGTCGTTTCGTTCATCCGGGTGAATTCAAACCATTTGTGCCCCCTTCGCCGAGTTCATTAGGCAAACCCGTCCCCGCAAAAACCTACACCCGCACTCGCAAATGGCTCCGCCGTTTCGCCTACCTCTCAGTAGCCGCCGGAGTGATCTACGCCATCGACACTCAGTTCTACGCATCCTCACTGACGCGGACGGCTCGGACGTTCTCGCTTGGACTCCTCGTCGCACTAGACTACAAAATCAATTTCCGACCGAACCCGCCATTTGCTGAATCCATCACAGCCGTGCACGCCCGCAACGCGGAACGACTGTTTGATCTGCTTCGGCATAATGGTGGCCTGTATCTGAAAATCGGGCAGGCGATTGCCATGCAGTCTGCCATTCTGCCCCCGGAGTTTCAGAAGATGTTTGGCCGGATGTTTGACGATGCGCCGCAGAATGACTGGAAGGACGTGGAGAAGGTGATCCGGGAGGACTTTGGGAAGTCGGCCGAGGAAGTTTTTGGAGTGTCTTTCACAGGGGATCCGACTAAGGGCGTGTTGGAGCGTAGGGCTAGGGCGAGCGCGAGTGTCGCACAGGTCCACTGGGCACGATTAGCAGATGGGCGAGAAATTGCTATCAAGGTTCAGAAAAGGGAGATTGCTCAGCAGATCCAATGGGATCTGTGGGCTTTCAAGTAAGTCCATCACATTTATCCTTCGGGGACGGATGCTAACGAGACCAGAGTGGTCACTTGGGTCTATTCCCGCACATTCGATATCCCATTCTACAGCCTGGTACCGTACATAAGCGAGCGACTGTTCCTGGAGACGGACTTTGAGAATGAAGCGACCAATTCGGAAACCATGGCTAAGCTGGTGGCCGGCGAGTCGCGTCTGCGAGGCCGCGTCTACATTCCCAAAGTCTACCGCGAGCTCAGCTCGAAGCGTGTCATGACCGCTGAGTGGATCGAGGGAATCCGGTTATGGGACAGAGAGTCCATCACTCGTCCGTGGCTCGGTGGTTGGCGCGAAGGCAGCCCGGGATGCCAGGGGACGCCGTTAGATGCTCCCCAGACCGAAGATCCGTTGACCAAGGTTGCGAGGAACCCCAATCTGGTCAAGATCAAGCCGGAGCGCAACCACTGGCGCGGCTGGAACGGCAAAGGCGGCCTAGGTCTGTCGCTCAAGGACGTGATGACGACAATGGTCGACCTCTTCTCCGCCCAGATGTTCCTTTGGGGCTGGGTGCACTGCGACCCGCATCCAGGTAATATCTTCATCCGGCGCAAGCCCTCCGGACAGGCGGAGCTGGTCCTCATCGACCACGGCCTCTACATCCACATGGACCCCAACTTCCGCCACCAGTACGCGCGCTTCTGGAAGGCCCTGCTGGCCTTCGACAACCGCACTCTCAGCGAGATCGCCGAGGGCTGGGGCATCCGCAACTCGGACATGTTCGCCTCCTTCACGATGATGCGCCCCTACCGCGGCGGCGACCTCTCCACGCGCCAGCACCTGGAGGGGCTGAGCAAGGTAGAGCGCGCCCAGCGCCACTACGAGATGCAGCAGGCCGCGCGCAAGGCCATCCGCGAGATCCTCGCGGACGAGCAGAAATGGCCCCAGGAACTCATCTTCATCGGCCGCAACCTGCGCATCGTCCAGGGGAACAACCAGTTCCTTGGCTCGCCGGTCAACCGCGTCAAGATCACGGGCATGTGGGCGTCCCGCGCGCTCGTCGACTCGCCCGATCTGCCCTGGTCCGAGAAGATCCAGAACCTCGGCCGGCATCTCCTCTTCCGAGTCGTGCTGTTCACCAGCGATCTCTTCTTCTACTTTACCAAGGTGCGGCAGTTCCTGCATCTGGGCGGCGGCATGGAGGATGATATCGAGAAGCAGATGAAGGATATGGCCAAGGATATGGGGGTGGATTTGAACCAGAGCATTTTCGAGGGCTAGATTTCTTTCCTGAGATCATCTCCCTCGATTGTACTATATGATTAGATGAACATGAACATACAGGATAGAGCTTGAAAGCCTCATTTCCTTTTATTCTACTCGTCGTAGACAAATGCGCCGTCCAAGAATCATATATCATACCCATACCGACCATAAAACTCCCGCCAAATCCGATCCATAACCATCGCTCATCGCTCATAAGAACAAAAAGGGTATCTAACTAGTATTCCCACCCGGAGAATCCCAACGGCCTCCATTCCTGCCCCGGATACGCCGTACTTGACATGGTGATCTCCTCGCCCGAGTCGTCATCACGCTGCACGGGCAGTTCCACCGGTGCATCGTCGGAATTAACCGCCCTCGCCTCGCCGCGGTGCGGATGGCGCTGGCGCTGGCCCTGCATTTGTCCTTGCACTTGCTCGCGACTCTGGTCCCCGCTTTGCTCCTCCGCTGCCTTCTCATCCGCAACAACAGGCTGCTGCGGCTGCCCGTGTACCTCCGAGTCCTCCTCGTAGGTCGGCCGCGAGGACTGCAGGAGCCGCTCCGTGGTACTCTCCAGCCAGCTTCCCTCCCCGTCGCCTGCGGTTGCGCGGGCGCCGTGCTCCTCGTCCGAGTCGCTCGGCAGCGTGAGTTTCCAGGGAAGTTCCTGGTCGCCGATGCGGCTGGTGCGTGGGTTGCTGCGGAAGGTCCCTAGGTTGTTGGCTGGGTCGGAGGTGTCGGTGCTTGGGTAGCTGCGTTCTTCGGGCCGTGGGGGGAAGGTCTTGGGGCTGCGGGAGCGGAAGTGGAGGTCTTGGGCGTAGGCGCGGTCGACGCTGCGGCCGCGGGAGGGCGGGGTGCGGGGGATAGCTGGGGGGATGGGAGAGGTGAGATGTGGGGGTGGAGAGAGTTGGGGGGTGGGGGGGGGGGGGGAGCGGGAGTGGGGGGCTTGGGCGTAGGCGCGGGCGACGCGGGGGCGGCGGGAGGGCGGGGTGCGGGGGATAGCTGGGGGGATGGGAGAGGTGAGATGTGGGGGTGGAGAGAGTTGGGGAGAGAGTTGGGGATGATGGGGGCTTGGTGGTAGTGTCATCTGTTGTTGTTGTTGGTGATGAAGTTGGAGGTGTGGTGGAGGAGGTGGTGCTGATTGGGGGGAGACCCTGCCGCTATATGAAAAGGAGCCAGCAGGTGACGGCAGTCTATCTGGTGGAGCGAGCCGGCCGTCAGGTTGCTGAGATAGAGATGCTGGTGCTGCCGCTGCTAAGTGCTGACTGCTCCTGGAGGCCCGGGGCGAGCGTCTGAAGCGAGAGAAGGATTCGGGCGCAAAGTATCCCTCTGCCGGCGGATGTTGTCCCTCGAACGATGTCTGACTCTCCACGTTTGATCGGCGCCGACCACGACCAGTCCGGTCGTCTGAGTAGAAGCGTGTATGCCCCGGTGCTGGATGCGAGGAAACCGGACGAAGCCATTCCATTGTCTGCGCAACAGACGACTCGGGAGCTCGTCCATGCGCATGAGTCTTATTTTGCTGTTGCTGTTGAGAGCGACCGAACCATGCCTAGTTGAAATATCAGCTTGATACAGTCAACCAACGAATACGGGCTTGACTTACACCCAGCCTATCAAAAGCTCCGCGACGCGACCGGTCAGTTTTGGGCGAAGGCTCATCAGAGAACGAGGGACCTCGATTCCGTCTGAACAACCTAAACATCTCCACGGGCGGTTTGCTCTTGGGAGATGCTAGCTTCCGTTGAGGCGATCCCCTTGAAGCCAGATCAGCGTCAAAGAGGTCATCCTGCGAGACCTGTGCATTTGAACCTGTCCGCGGGCTGCTTGAGCCAGCGACAGAACCGGATTCATAAGAAAAACCAGGAGTCACAGACGAACGGCTGACGCCTCTGGAATGAGTGAAAATTTCAGCCTCATCACCGCTCAAGCGGCTCTTCCGAGCATGCCAACGGCTGAGGCCGGTACTCGGAGTGGTAGCCGTGCCAGCAACACTAGGAACAGGCGTTTGATTCGCCGGACTCAGCATGTCGCTGGGATTAAGATTTTCGGGTTGACCGACGCCAATAAGATTAAGACTAATCTCTGCTCTTGCACTTGCAGATTGGGACGGCCGTGCTGGGGACTTGGTCAGCTCGTATTCGGAGTAAGTGGTCATTGCGAGGCCATTATAGGGACATCTTGAATAAAGATATAAGAGAAAAAGTCAAACTCAAACTCACCCGGTCCCGGCCTGGATGATGGCTGCAGGCCCGAATACGCCTCCAGGGTGCCCAGCGAGGAGATGGAGGGAATGCTTATGCGACGAAGAGGAGGTGGAACAGAGAGCCTTGTACTAGTTGCAAGGTCGACGGGGGATTGCTCTAAGCCCCGCCAGTCACGGTCTAGAAGATGAGCGCCCGCAGGTGGCGGTGCGTCTGCGTCTTCTGCGTCTTCTGCACCACCAGCACTCATCTTTCCATCGTCAATCGCAATTTTTATTGGTGATCTTGTCGCTGAGCCCAGAATAAAATGTAGCATTCTGGTATGGAGCCGTCAACAATTCACCTCGTTCCTGTGGCTTGGCGTTTGCTTGTGCAAGGCCAGCCTCTTTCCCACAGTTCGAGTCCACGCAATAGTCTGTCGCTAGAGTCGCTACGGTTGCATCGACAGGGAATGGGCGCTTATCGTCGCTTTTTAGAGGCTTTCGATCTATCTTTGTCCTTGTCGACACTGTTTTTCTTCTCAAAATGCTCGGCAATTGAGCTTGTAAGGCAGAAGAGCTCGACAGCGCCGTGCAATGCGAGCTTACCATCATCTCGCTGGGCAATGGCTTTCTAAGTATACGTCCCTGTGTATTCATTTGGCGATGTAAAAATGCTATATTGATATCATCAGCACTTCGTCGTCTACCCTCACTTGCCGCTGCCTGCTGTGGCTCCACATCCCAGCGCAGTTGCGACGACTTGGTCAGGTCTCCTGTCCGTCTGATGATGGGTAAACTCGCAAACTGCACAGTATTGCGCTTGAGAGTCATCCTCTCAGCCTCATTTTGGTCTATGGCAGATTGAAAGTCTGAAAGCTGGATTTCTCTGCGATAACCGTGCACCCGGTAGAATCCCTACTGATCAACACGCAATTAGATGTGACAGGCAAATCATCGGATGCATTCGACAATAGTTAGGAAAGCATTAATCATGTCCATTCTGACTTGGACTGCGTATGTTCATTACACCATGGTATCACACAATAGGATAAGCAAGACAGGACCAGAGAGAAAGAAGACGGATGCAGCGAGGGAGCATCATACATAGACCACAACCTCCGCTCTCACGTGCTTATAAATAAATGCAATGACCACCAAACCAAAACCAAGAAATTAAGCATCTACCTTGTCTGACTCTCCTCTTTTCAGCTTATTTCTGCCCTTGGCGAAGAGACCCTTGGCGGCCTCGCCTGCTCGGCCGCCCAGGGCTCCCGCCGTTTGTAACAGGTCCTTTCCGCGTTGCTCGACCTGTTGTTTGTTCATTATCGAACCAAGCGGGGCAGATGGACGTCGTGCGTGGCCCGATCCGGGCGGAGGGCCATCTTGGTTCGATGAGGTGAAGTGCCCAAGAGACGACAGCTTCGGGAATTTCCCCTTGGATACGACCGCTTTAGGCTCGACAGAGGGAGCCTTCATGCTCTGCTCCACAATATCCATGTGTTCCGGATGGGCACGAATCACCACCTGTAACCAATTCTTCAAACCAGTATCGATTGTCGCGAACTGGTCCCGTGTACGGTCAAAAGCTCGCACTCGGTCATCGGAAGATTGAATACCCATAATGTCACGGAAGCCCAATAACGTCGGCTCCACCGTGGGCGGCATCTTGGGCTCAGGCAACGGGGATCGCTGCTCCATACTTTGACGATTGACAACTTCGGGCAGGTAGCTTTCATTCGAGTCCCTGCTATTTTCCATGGCAGCAGGAGTCACTAGAGTGAGTTTAGGCTTCTCAGGTGTCTGCTGGAGGTCACCTTCGTGGCCTCTATCTGTTGCCATCTCCGTCTCGTTGGGCACAGTCTCTGGCGCTAGCTCGGTCGTATCGTTTGCCACAGGGAATTGTCCTGGAATTGGAATAGCCGACGGCGAGGCCGCCTGCAAGTCCACCGGAGGTACCTCCTCATCCGAGGACGATGATTCCCACGAGAACCGTCGTTTCAACTTAGGTTCTGAAGTAGGCTGAGCAGGAACAGCCGGTGCCGGAGTGCCCATAGGCGAACTGGAGTACAGATCCTGCTGCGAAGCATTCTGAGAAGCACCGTAGACAGGGGCTGGCGGCCTTAAATCCTGAGGGCTTGATTCGACTTGCTCGCTCCAATATCTTTCGTATTCACTGGGTATCAGACTGTCTTGTCGACTGGTCTCTGTGTCTTGTCGAGCAGTCTCCGGCCTGGTAGGATTTTGCTGCTCTGTTTCCGCTGAAGGTGTGGTTTCCCGGCTCAAGGAGCGAATTATCTCCTTTCTCAACCGATCACTCTCGGTGTCCTGAGGCGAGGTTTCGGCGCTGTTTGAAGGGATGATAACTGGAATTTCTTCATGGCTTTTGATGGGGGAATCGGCAGGCGGGTTTGCGCCAAAGTTGAGGGGCGCTGGTAGATCCCTGTCGGAACCAGTCTGAGGCAGTAGCACAGAGGCTCTATGTGGCAGTGGCTGGTGAAATGAAGAGGAACTGTCTCGAGGGGAGTCTGAAGGCGTCTCCGACGACATCTCTGCCAGCACAGACGGAGGAGTTGCCTCGGCGCTGTTATTGATAATCGGTTTCCTCGAAGGGCTGTTACCCGGGCTGGGAAGGCTAAGATCTCGACGATGACCAGGCTTAAATACCATGGCCTGGTCGTTGGTGTCTTTCGGTGTTGAGATTTCACCCGGCTCCTCCACGATTGTTGGCGTCTTTTCTTCGTTCGGACCGCGAGTACCTATAATGGGACTGATGACCGACGTGCTGTCACTATTGGATCGTGCAACGCTGTCAACAGTGGTGCTTGGAGTGTCGGGAACGTCGAATGCTTGGTGTACAACTGAACGGAACCCGAGCGACGGGTTGTGCTGCAGCTGATGGGTTTGTTGAGGGTCAGAGCTCTGCTCTTTCTGCACGCTTGAATCCGAAGCCAAAAAGTCAGCGTCGAAGCCAGAAAGTCGCCTGACATCGGGGAGCTCAAGGCTTGCGGCACGAGGCGCGGTTCTTGGAGTGGCACTTGAGTCGTCGACCTTGCCGTGACCGACATCGTTCGGCGCATTAGATACCGGCCCCGGTTGAAGTTCGTGGTGCGCGGTGGCAGGCAGCTGAGACGTAGAGACAGGTTCAGGATGGGAACGGCCCACACCGGAGGAACTGTCATTCCGAGGGGTATCTGGAGACTGTTGGCGTCTCTCTTGCATGCGTTTGTAGATGTCGGCAGGTCGCACGAAAGGCAGAGGCTTGTTCGAGGGAGCACTGCCCGCAGTGCCCTCGACAGCATTGCGGTCTGCCGACCGACTGCGACTTTCAGCAGGTCCTACACCGAGCGTTGCCACCTGATCCATTGAGCGTGATCGGTCCATGCTGGGTAGCGGGGGCCTCGACGGATCCCGAGGACCTATTCTGGACAGGTCGTTGGTGCTCTGGCTGAAGCTTGCCGGCTGGGGCATTGGTGGCGGCTCATCATCGTATTCCTCGTACTCATCGTCACCCCAGTCATTACCGTCGTACGAATATTTCTTCGCCTCAACCCAACGTTTGGTCTTTGCGCGGTTAACATTTGTTTTGAACGAAACTGGAGTTCCGCTTTGTGGTGCCACTGGAGTATTTGTACTGGGAGATGTACTGGATGTCCCAGACAGCATCTGTCAGCTGAACCCAATATACGCCGTCCTAAGTGAACTTACAGCGTCTCATACTCCGGTTCGTAGGGAACTTGAAGTGGACGAGCCATTGCTACACGCACGACAGGGAAATGGACAGCTTGGCAGCATCAACAAACTGAGACTAAAGTTTGCGCAAATAGCAAATCAACGTAGAAGGCACATCTGACAGGATGTCCAGACGATGTAGAATCTGTTATCGAAATCAAGACAGGATGTGCTGGACCTTGGACCGAGTTCGACGGAGCCTAGAGAGGAAATGCGGTACGTTTCACAAGATGACGTGGGTACGATCGGATTGCGATAGCACCTGATGCTCAGCCTTGGCGACGTGTCAATGTTGGGTAGCGGGTATATCAAAAGCAGCGAGTTGTGGTAGATAATTTTGCCGATCAGCTTCCTGAGGATTTGAGTCTCTCCCTCAGCGACAGTCGATGATTGTTGTTTTTTCCCCTCTGCCAGTTATGATGGAGAGGTGCCCCTGGTACTTAAAATAAATTGCGGCCTGATGCGGCCTGGGGAACCAAAATGTGGCTGTGGTGGCTGTGCAAGTGGCACCCCTGTCACGTGGAGAACTGCCACACTTTCCCCCATCCGGAATGACACGAATCCGCCCCGAGAGAGTGGCAGAGGACGGGCGTCTTTCTTGGCCAGATCAATACTCCTGTTCATGAACTCTTGAACTTTGACGATATGGAACTCCCTAGACTTTCCTAATTCACTACTAACCCCGACTTCACTCGATGCTTACTTGTTTACTCCCCCTATTCGACTAACGCCGGATACGCCTCAACCGTTGCCTTCTCCTTATCGATTAGCCCGACCTCTACTTCGTACATTCTAGACTATTCCTCAACTTCAAGCCGCCTCGACACATATATTCTAGCGGCCACAACGAGCCTGCGATCTTGAAAATGGTCGGTCCCTCCATCCAGGATCGAACGGGCGAATTTCAGGCCATCCTCGGACAGGCCCAGAAACGCCTCGCGACTTCCAAAGTCGGCTCACAACGTCAAGCACTGCTTTCGGATTCGCAACGGAGACAGGCGCACGCAGACACAGATGGACAAGGACAAAGCAAACGCCGGTCAGAGTTTGCTAGGAGAGCCGCGGAGATTGGACGAGGTATCACAGCGACAACCGCGAAGTTACAACGGTTGGCTGAGTGTGAGTAGCTGGTTGCTGGTCAGATTCTCTTCATCTTGCTGATCTCAACATAGTGGCGAAGCGCAAGACGCTCTTCGATGACAGACCTGTCGAGATCTCGGAGTTGACCTACGTCATCAAGCAAGACCTGGCGTCGCTGAACCAGCAAATTGCTTCTCTGCAAGCGCTTACATTATCGCAACATCCGAAGACGAATCGATCAAAAGCGGATCAGGAAGGCGAGCACAATGACAATGTAAGTGGACTCCAAGTGGCCGACTTGCGCAATGCTAATGCCACCCAGGTCGTGGTTATGCTCCAAGGAAAGCTGGCGGATGTCGGTGCGAACTTCAAAGAAGTCCTCGAGGTCCGAACCAAGAACATTCAAGCGTCGCGATCTCGGACAGAGAACTTTGTCTCTTCGGTATCGTCCAAGTCGCAAGTTTTGGATCCGCAACGGTCGGACTCTCCACTGTACAACCCCTCGGGACGGAGGACGCCACAACCAGGTTTCCAGGGAGGTTCTTCAGATCTATTGACGCTCGATCCCTCAAATCCGTCGCCTCTTGGGCGTCCATCGTTCCAGACAGATCAGCAATTACTGGTCATGGAGGAGGCGCAGACGAACAACACGTACATTCAGGCCAGAGGCGAAGCCATTGATGCCATCGAACGCACCATCAGTGAACTCGGCGGGATCTTCGGCCAACTGGCTCAGATGGTCAGTGAGCAGTCAGAGATGATCCAACGGATTGACGCCAACACCGAAGACGTGGTGGACAATGTTGAAGGCGCCCAGCGTGAGCTAATGAAGTACTGGAACCGCGTATCCGGTAACCGATGGTTGATCGCCAAGATGTTTGGTGTCCTTATGGTGCGTTTCTCTCTTCTTGATGCCATTGCAGGAGCTGACTGGACAATTGCAGATTTTCTTCCTTCTCTGGGTTTTGATAGCCGGATAGATATACCCCCTATTTTTTCTAATGTATTATTATGGGCCCTGGCTCTTGCTAGACACATCGTACCCGCGGTCGGACGCATGTTGCATATCTTTTTCCACTTGAACATGGAGCTATTTCTATTTACCAGTGACCTAGCTAGACATTTCCTATGATCACTTATTATGGGCCGATGTCGATATTATGTTGCTAGTTTGAAAATACTCTGTCGGTAGTGAGCGCCGACATGTACGTATAGTCCTCCATTGCTGCATAATCCACGGCGGTCTTCTGTCGATAGAAGGATTGTGGCAACACTACTCAAGTCTAGATCTCAATACTGGTCATCACAGAATTCACAATGTAACCTGATACACGACCCGTGGAGAATGTGAACCGGATCCTCATAGCGATGCGTAATCACGCCTCGTCGATACATCTCCTTCTCAGCTGCTTCAAACCATACCTGTCTTAGACCGGGAGGAGCAACGAGCTCTTGCTCGTCAGCGGCCGTTTCGTCACCATCCACGGACGCCAGGTACTCATCCCAGTCCTTTCGCATCCGCAGCAGGAACTCCGTCCGTTTCGTCTAGGTGGATGATACATCCCTGGTATGTGCGTGGTGCGTGCGCGTATGAGTATGGCTCTGTATGTTCCTGGCGTGCGCATGCCGCGCTTCTGCGGCCTGGTCGTCTGCTGCGGCGAAGAAAAAGTCTAGGATCCTTTCGAGCGTGGATGTCGTGAGGAGAATACTAAGCCAGCTTCCGGTTGAGGACGGTGGGAACTCGGGGTTCATCATGTGGCGCACAGAAGAGCAGAGGAGATACATGCAGTGATGGGTTGCGAGGAGGACCTCGGTCGTTGTGAACGGAGACCGTTGGAGGATGGATTGTTGCTCTTCGAGATGGAGCAGATGATGGGGTTTCCCTGTTTCCCTTGCTGCGTCTCGGGCATCTGCGTAGGTTTCGAGGAAGAATGCGAGGTATGCTCTGGAAAACGTTAAAGGGGTGTAAAGGCTGACATGGGGTCAATTGGGTTCGACGTACAATGGATACAATAGCCGAGATTGAAGCACGCCCACACCTCGGCTGTAAATAATTTCCTTTTCGGTCTTGGAGGATGACCAAAGAGACTGAGCGTCAGAATCATGCTGCAGATGATGCCGTACTGCGTAGTCGGCTAGATAGTATGACAATCTGAGGCAAGTCACCCAGCAGCGAGTCAGGTCGGCGAGATAGCCGAAGGAATATTGGGGGAATTCATCGTGCGACCTGCTAGCAGTGTACTGCGGTGGCTGGGGTGGGAAAAGCTCAGAGATGAATGTCAGGTCATCTCCAGGAGAGCAGTCGCTGCTTTGCAGATATCGGCGCTTTCGATGATGAAGATATTCGCGAGATATCGCATACTCTTCTTGGTGGATTCGTCGATACAGCACCCGACAGGACAACATCAAGGAAAATATGTCTGTCAGTGTGCAGTGTACCAGTATCTTAGTAAGGACATTGCCTGGTATTTCCTCCCAGATCGAGTTCCTCTGTTTGGGAAAGTTGCTAAGAAACGTTTATCAGCTTGTATGTGCTCTAGTTGCTCCGTGACTGGGCATACATCGTGGATCTTCCTCTTGACGAACGGGAATGCCTGCTTTGGTGTAAAGCGTGTCGAACGCGATCTAGAACATGGTGGCTCATGTTCGCTTCAGTCCATTGAAAGGTCTCGCCGACTTTGTCGTTTTTCGTTGGGGGATGTTGCAGTTTGGCGATTTTCTGAGACCAACCAGCTGTACTTCAAACCAACCGAAGGCTAGGTCCCAACGCAACTGAATGAGAAAATAATGAAACAATTGCGCATCGCCGTGGGTCTGGCCCCAAATCAGGTTTATGTCTTGGCTAATCTTGTTAACCGTGTAGTCCCACTAACCCGCTGTCAGATCATACTGAAATAGTCAACTCGGTGGATCAACTAATAAGGCTGAAATAGTCTGTTGCCACTGGTATATCCGACACGTACCACTCTAATGGTGATAGCAACTCATGGACGAGGGAATGTCAATGAACCCGTACCCTTACGGCAGATCTGACGACTCTCCAGGTCTAGGCAGACTTCACGCCCTTGGCTCAACTGAGGATATTACGGCCAGATCGAACTGTGCAAGATGCTTGTGAGAAGGAAAATGTGGTTCCGAGCGTTGAGAAGGGTATGCGGACGATCTGTAGGGTTCATCATAGCCAGTCATCCATTCCTGGTGGTATTGTGAGAGCAGACCATCCCGGGGGCCCCATGAATAAGGCTCTTGCCTATGCATCAGTATGTTGCAAGGTCTCTCGCAAGGGCTGTTGCTATATGCTGCTCTCCGCCATAGCTGACGATGTCCGGAGTAGTTCACGCCATGCTTTTTGGTTGATTGACATACCATAATCGAAGTTTTCAAGGAATTGTAATGAGATCGTCACCTGTCTGTTGATGTCAAAAGGAAGGGAAAGATAACAAGGCTTTGAGCGGAGAAGGAGAAGCAAGCGAGCATCTTGAAAAATGCTGCCTGTTTCGGATCGATAATTCTACTACTTTACAATTAACCCTTGATATCATGCAAGATGACATCCACCTTCTCTCCAACAGTTCTATGCCAGCAACCTAATCATATCTCCCGAAGATCCAATCTTCATGCTCCATGTTTCAGTCACTGTCGCTCCCAAAGCCGATATATACGTCCATCGGCGAAAGCCCCCTGATCTCTTCTACACCAGCTGTGAGGGCATCCATCACGACACTAACCCAATGCGCTGCTGAATTCTTTGCCGCTAAGGGGTCATCGCGAACCTCGGTCTCGCTGAAGTATTCAATGTCCGTGGCGTACCTAACGTTGTCAGCTATGCATCGAGCACGTCGTGTCAAGAGGAATGGCATACACTCTCCGAGTCTCCGGATCAAACTTGAGAAACGAAACGCCAACAAAATTAAGACCGTGATTGTTGAATTTACTGTCATATGAACATGTCAGGTTGTCTCAAGCAACGTGCAATATCGAGCGTACTTACACAGCCATATCAAGCATCTGTTTCTTGATGCGCGGAAGCTCATCAGCATTCAGGAATAGAGGCGCGTCAGCCAGACTGAAGGTCGGGTAGTGTCCTAGAACTAGAATCCATAGGTATCCGCCGGGGTTCTCAAAGGTCAGGTCCTGATGCATCTCCCTCTTGCCGTAGTACTTGGGTGTATAGCCCGTGTCTGACAGGGTTCTCCAGATCTTGCACTCGTTGCGGAACAGCTCAGCCGCATTGTTTTTCATAGATCGCTTGCCACTCTGTTCCTCTCTCATGAATGGATCTGCCCTATTGTCGCTGGAGTTAGTGAACGAGGCTTGCATGAGACAGAGGGCAAAAGACATACTCCAGGAAGAACTTGATGACGACAGGATCCTTAGTCTCGCAGTCCTCAGCTTCAAACACGGCCCTGCGCTGGTGGTAATTGTTGTTGTAACGCTCCCAGAGGATTTTCTTCAAGCGATAGGCACGTCCCGCGACTGGGAAAGTGGCTTTTTCGAACTTCCTCATGACACTCCCAGCAGGGAAATCCTTATTGACGCCTTCACACTGGCACTCACCCTCCATTTTGAGGTTGGCAATGTGGACTGAGCTGGGGAGGAAGCATGAAAGAGATCTGAAGCGTGATATCAGCCTTATTCTACTCACGTGCAGACAAAGCATCAGTGAATGGGATAGAAAGTAGCGCTATCCTAAGCGAGACGCGTATTCCATCTCCAGGGTCTAGCGTTGAACGCGTTAGAAAACACTGGTTGAATCATTCATGACTGTATATCTCTCAAAGGCTAGGTACTTTGCCTCTTCTGCTTCCTCAGGTTCCAATATCAGACATTGAAGCACCCTCTAAACATATGTCCATACAAAGTGCGATAACACATCAACAGTTGAAACGCAGGCGCTTAATATAACCCAATGATGATATCTCCGTCTAGCTGAGCATCCAACTCCAACTTCACCTTGGCATGGAGATTCAGATGAATCTTGATATTGAGACTTTCCTTCTTGCCATCGTCCCGTTTCGTCGTTGGTTCAGCAGCTGGTTCGCTACCAGTTGATTTGACCACCACAGTCTTTTCTGTGGTTTCTTGCATTGGCTCGTCTTGGATCTCTGCTGGGGTACTTGATCTTGTGAGCTATAGAACGGATATTGAACTGACATGAGTACTTACCTCGGAGCATCCTGCCATTTTCGATCGCTCATTTTGTGATTTGACAGTGAAATATGGAAGTATACAGCTGCAGAATGACGAACAGCAACAAGCAAAGATAAGATAAATTAATGAAGGAACAACCGGATTCTCTCTCTATATCATCTGTGGGTTATGTTGCATCTGTGTTGTGGGGATACCTTCATTTCCGTTTCCGTCGATCAGCGGCCAAGTGTACCTGACCGAACCACAACCACCGTGACAACGGCATTGTTCTGTCAATTAATCATCGTCACCAAAAGTTAACTTCATTATTTAAGCTACATATGCTGCGGGAGATGCCTATACCCGAGTCAAACCAACGACACCATTTCACTGCGTCACAACAAATCCACATCATGGTCCTCGGCCTCGCCTTAATGGGCGCCATGGCCCCAGCAATGATAAACATGGACCAGAGCTCCAAGGACCCTGAAGCCAGACGCCAACAAGCCAAGAAACAACGAGGTCATATCCTCGCAGAGTGTTATAAGAACGAAGAAACGCCGGAACAGCGAGACCAACTGCACAATGCACGGATATATCTCGACGAAGATGGAAAGGTACGGTACTCAGACACAATCCTCGCCTTGAACTACTGCTAATATAAATAGTTGTACGTAACCAAGCACCCGACTCCAACAATGACCCCCTTCGACGGCCACTTCTATACACACCCCGACTTTCCCCCCGACAATACATCCGGACTCATCACGTTAAGCGGGGAGATGCCGCCGCTCGCTCGATGGGTCTTTATAGATGCCGAGACGAATGAGATGCGCTATGGAGGGAAAGGGGATGCACAGGGCCATATCTGTGGGCCGTTTGATCTACTCGATGTCGAGAGTGGATACGTCACGCTTGAACGACGGCAAAGGTGGCTGGCTGTAAAGTTGCCGGAACAGCAAGCCCGAGAGAGGGAGGCGTTGGATCTGGGAATTACTGGGTCTGAAGGTGGAGTGGGAGGGGTGTGGACGTTGTACTTTGATCGGGATGAGTATGTGCTGCCGGAGGGGACACAGTGGGTGAAGCTTCGTTTGAGGCATGTTCCAGCGGGGAGGTAGTGAAATCTGTTTCGAGAAAATTGGTTTTAATAGTAGTATATCATGTAAATTGTTCTCAGAGGACTGGGTTGTTGGGCTGTAAGTACTGAAATGTTGCATTCCGCATTCGGCAAGACATGTTGCCTGAGGCTGCGGTCTCGAATTAACAAAGAATAGATGCAGAAAACCACCAGAAAATCAGCCAAGAATCAAAAAAGTCAACCATTATCATCACTCATAGCTATTAAGCTCACAGTTCACCGCGTTGGAATGAAATGCTTGGATTGCTCCTCCTGCTCGCTGAACGATTCGGGAAACGCCGCGATGGCAGCCACAATGCCAACAGCCATGAACGCCAGAGAAATAATGGACCAAATGACGCCCCAGCAGCGGGAAGAGCCACCATATCTCTGCGCGAAGACGCTTGCATCGGAACTATTGACTTTGCGGAGAATGAGATCGTCACACTGTTCACATTAGCATGGACCTTTTCAAGAAGAGACGAAGGACGTACAATATCCCAGACGCTGTAAAGCGCTGACATGACTCCGATAAATAGCTACTGACAGTTAGCAATAAGCCAACAAAAATAAAGGTAGGGGAAAGACATACCACAACCCACCGCAACGCCTCCCCATGAACGATAAACCAACACGCAACGAGTAACCCGACGGCCATCAGAATGGTCAAGATAGTCAACCAGTCCCTCCGCGCCCACCACAGGGTAAGCAAAAAGCACACCCCCAGAACAATACTCGCCACCTTGCTTGCGACAATGTCAAACCCAGCGAAGATCAGCAGAGCACCGATGATGGATGAGCCTAGGTATCCCGCGGGCAGGGTGATAGCGCTGATACCGCCCTGCATGTGTGTGACGCCGCCTTCGTGGGGGTCTAATGAGATGGACTTTACTCTGCCTCCTGTGCAACATGCGGTGATGGCATGGCCGAATTCATGGAAGGCGATGACCAGCATCTGTTGTTATCAGTAACCAGCAGACGGTGAATGGAAGTAGTAGTTGGTACCTTGAAAGGCCATAATGACCAGCGGACGTAGGGGAGGTTCCAGAGCAGTGCGATGACAACAACGTACGCCCCCATAACGCCCAAGGTTACTGCTTGAGTGTGGTTGACTGAGAGATCTCGCTTGAGGAGATGAGGCTGTGAAGCCTGCGATTCCTCGAGTACGCTTCCGGCGAGGGCTGCATATGGTGCCATTTTGATGTTGTCTATGTCTGAGGATGATCTGGAAATCAAATTGAAGGTGTAAGTGTACAAGGTAGCAAAATGAAGCTTTTATTCCTTCCTCGTGATCATGGTAATGCCTGACGGCCTGGTGCCTACGCGTCCAATTGCAAATCCCTGCGCCGCAGTAAACACTTGTCTTATTCCGGCTAGCGTGTAGCTGATATAAGCCTATTTTTAGTATATGGCTTGTGGATCCCGGTGGCTGACCAATTACCTTGCACTTCGTTCCAAACTGTTTTTTGATTGACCAGAAGCAAGTGTAGATGTGCCTTTTCTTCAGATCAACTTCCATCCTGAAGAATTTACTATCTGCGTACTCTGTGCTTTAAACCAATAAGTATTGCTTGAGATGTCCATCACTGATGCCTCTTATGATATTAGCAACAGATTGAGGTTGAATTTGAGTCATCGCTCCACTGCCGGGCCCAACGCTAACAACGCCCCATGGCGAAGTTTCTTCGGTGGAGATATTCGCAGACTACGCTAGTATCATTATGAATATGATAGCATGAGAGTGAGACACCATAGACGCTAATAGCATCATTGCCGACATGTCTGGTTCATGTAGTGAAACCAATGCTTAGACTGTCGGGCCATGGACGAAGTCTAGTAGTCGATAACCGAGAACAGAAACGAGTCCTATTGCACTGCAGGATGGCTATCGACATAACAACATAATTAAGAAGACATGAGCTTCGCTCCAAAACCTATAACTACAGCTTCTCAAACCTCCCATGCCTCCCCTCCCCATCCCTAAACCTGGCCGCCCCCATCACACTCTCCGTCGCCAACACCTTGGACCCCATCTCAAACTCCCTCCGCAGGGCATCCTCCATCGACCTCGCCCCATACGCACTGTAATAGCAACTCCCCCGATCAACATTCATACACTGCTCAGGAAACCGAATCAACTTCCTCGCCAACACCATCGCCTCCTCCACCGCCCTCCCCTTCGCAACCACCCGACTCGCCAACCCCATCGCCAGCGCCTCGCGCGCACCGACCCCCCGCCCCGTAAGAATCAGATCCAGCGCCCGCCCCAACCCCACAATTGCCTGCAGGTGCACCGTCCCGCCGTCGATGAGCGGGACGCCCCACCGCCGACAGAAAACACCTAGGACGGCGTCCTCCTCCACGATGCGCAGGTCAGCGAGCAGCGCGAGCTCCAGCCCGCCTGCGACGGCGTGTCCGGCTATCGCTGCGATGAGGGGCTTGGATGTGTACAGGCGTGTAGGGCCCATTGGTCCTAGGGATGGGACCTGACCATCGGTGGTGGATGAAACAGGAACAGGTTGGAGGTTCTCCTGCGTTGTCAGTGCGGATGGGGAGGTCCCGGCTGCGGCGACGGCGTGGAGATCTGCGCCGGCGCAAAAGGTCCCGCCTGCGCCGGTGAGGATGCAGATTTTCTGGGCGGGGTCGGCGTCGAAGGCTAGGATGGCCTTGTAGAGGGCTTTGGCGGTTGGGGGGTCGACCGCGTTACGGCGGTGGGGGCGGTTGATGGTGATGGTTGTGATGCCGTCTTCGGCGGTGGTGAGGATTGATTGTGTCATTTTGTAGATGGTTTAAATGATTAGTTTGACGATTGTCGTCTTGTCTTGAGTGGGAGGTCATTTATCGTGAATACGAGCCTCGGTTAAGGTACCTGTGTTGGACCGAGGTGATGACAGCATCCTGTGCTGGGATGCAAGAACACATCGTGTACAAGCTGTTGCGACCGCAACCGCTAAGGCCTGCTGCCTGCAGAGCAAAGTAGTATGTTAAGCAGCAGATCTTTAACTGAAAAGCTTCAATTCTCAATAAGGTGCTGGGTGGCCTAATACCTTAGAGGTATTCTGAACAAGATTAAACCATTAGTTAATGACTTCCGGATCTTTGCATTTTGCACGCTGGTAATCATATTTACAAGTGTACTTAAATATAAGTTCATCATACTGTTTGATGAATCTAGTGATCCTCTCTCACTGACTGCTTCCCCATTCCTGGCTCCTCTTCTATTGCATATTCAGTTGCAGAGTGGGTGTTCAAATACGGCTATATTTAGTGCGTATCAGCAGAGATATGGTAGGTTGCTTTTTTTTCTTCCTTGGGTTTGTTGGTGCTGATTAGTGTAGGGCTGGATGTTGATCAGTTAATGGTTCCTGTTAGGTAGACCGTAGGTGAGACTGGTTGTTTCAATCTTTGGGAGAGATGAGCGATGCATTTGCTGTATGCATTGCATTTGGATATGATTGCTTTAGGTATACTGATTGTAGTGGGCTTGAATACAATCACTATAGCAATTCTTTGAAGGCATCCTCTTATGAATAAGTGTAAACAAGAAACACAGTAGCATATCTTCTCTAGGAAATAGAGCGTTAATTTAACACTAGCTGTGACTTTAGGCATCATTCCTTTGCTCAAATTATTCGCACTAGTAATGCTCAGGACTTGTCCGTCCGATCTTCAGGCGGCCAGCTGTGAAATATCACATTTGTTTCCACATCCCTGCCTTCCCAGTGGTCAATAAAATCAATGTCATCCGGATCGAAACCCCAAGCTTGCGCAACTCGCTCATCGGGTTTATAACCTGTAGCCGATGCCCAAGTTACCGTCCTCCTCCCACTGAACTGATCGGTAGAGAACTCAAAGGTAGACTGTTCGTCAGCAAGAACTAAGAGTCTGATCGTCTTTAATAGTGGCATATGCTGTGCCGCATAGCCCATGGCAATAAAGACACGATGGAAGTGCTCAAAGTTCATCAGCGTGCGGTCGTATGGCGATTCCTCAATAAGTCGAATGTCTTCCCAATCTGGAGCCTCGAGATTGGGCACTTCGGTCTTCTTATAATCGTCAGGGTCGAAGAGCCATTCCCCTAATAAAATATGGTATCAGCTTTTTGGGATTGAAAATACGGGTTTTGTGTCTGGTTAGCATAACATGAGTTAGGGAAAGAAGTTTTACCTGAGGGAAGGTACTCTGGTATTTCATCAAACTCGATTGTTTCGAGATAGAGCCAATGCAGTGATGCTCCACAGCCTGTTGGTTTGCCCTGCTTATCCAGTGGCCAGAAGAAATCGGAGGTGATGGCCACGTGGGACATCTTCAGTTCTCGGAGATGGAGACTTAGGGACCGCACATGCAATGGGAATGTGTCTATTTTGTCTGACAGAACATTGAGGGCGGGAAGAGTATTTTGCCATGGCTTCTCGAGTTGGTTGAAATAGTGAAGAACTCTCAAACTTGCCGGCAAGTTACAAAGTTCCTCAGCCACGGCTAGAAAAAGAAGTCAGTTATGGATATTTACTGGATATAGGAGAAATGCTACCTTGGCGCCGGTCTCGGATGTAGTCCAAATGATCTGGTCGAACATATTCATCTAGACCTAAATGCAGCCAAGTCAGGGTTGGGCAACGCTGCGCGATCTGTAGTGCCGTTCCACTCCAGATCATATGCCAGGGGTCCAGCCCCGCGTTAGGAAAACAAAGCTTGCCAACGCATGAAGCAACCGGCAGTGCGGATGCACTGCCATCTGGGAACCAAGCACGGTAAGGCCGGACAGCCCACTCATCCCCCCTATGGAGTCCACGGAATGTTCCGGCGTCAGCATGCTTTCTGGTGCCTGGTTCCAACTCTTTCTGGCGACCCAGTGCGGCAAGTACGAGAGAAAGGCGATGAGTGTCACTCCAGGAGGCTAGGATGGTAAATAATTCAGTAATACCTCTCCTAAAAGCCTCGTCATTGGCATGCCTGATAGGATTCTCCTTGCGATATGCCCTATCTTCTGTTATGCTTGCGCAATAATCGTCCAGTTGATAGGGCAAAATAATACGGTACTCTAGCTCCTGAATCATAGAGAGTCGCCCAATACCTGTTCCTGATGTGATGATATGAAATTTGGAGAGAGAAAGGATACTCTGACCCTGGAGGCCATCACTGTGGACACAGATCTGCCTGTAAATGTGTGGCTCAAAGGCGGCCTGCCATTGGCGGCACACGGTGGTGTACTGCGCAAGTGGCTCATGGGCTTCTTTTAAATATGCAGCTATCTCAGATAACAATTCAAGGGGGAGCTGATTTCCCATGCTGTTGGTAATAACAGCTGCTGGGTAAGACTTGCAGGGAGGAGAGAGGAAGAAATCATCCGGGGTCAACCTCTAACCGACCCTTCCACCTATTTTCAGTCGCCCGCTAGGGAAGGTAGCCCAAGCTGGTGGATCCAGCTAAGCTCCCTGCTCGCTGCCTTAGCCATTTGAAGTCCTTGGTTCTGTAAATTGTTTGCTATCCATCTGATCATGAGTTGGATCTCAATTTGCATCATCTGCTTAATTTGTCTTATGATTTGCTGTATGACTTGCTGTCCTCCGTGGGATCCTTGGTTGGTGATACACTATAGGCTAGATTGGTTAGTTGAATAGATTATGATACCTATGATGTTCGTCAAGGTTGGGGGTCCTTGAAGCAGTTCCCTTGCCAGCTGGAGTGCTTCCAGGATAGCGCCAAGTTAGGCAGTATGTAGGTCTATGTGGTGGTCTATCTCCACTGTTATGGAGGTAGATTTCATAATTTGATCCCTAGTCACCACTACCAGACCAATTCCGATCAGATTATTCCTGCTGATCCAAAGGTGTAGATCTTAATCTTCGGTCTTTCAAAGGCGGTTTCTAGGTTTTCCATTCCTTCATGGCATATAACCTTTTGCCAGTCTAACTCCCATGGGGCAGAATGGTATGGTATGATTATCTCCATGCGACCTTGTTCAAGTAGCAGTATCTGAGAGAGTGATCCAAATGGCGACCCAGACTGCTGGTTGATGTTCTTTATACACTTGGCGAGTGGGTGAGTGCTCGGTAGGCTAGGCTGTGGCCTCTCCCCTAGCATCCATCAGGCTATATTGAGTGCTTGACTAAGATGATAATTGTACCTTACGGAGTATCTACCCCTCTACTCCTTAGTAGATGCAATTAGTACAGCTGCTACAGCATGTCACTGCAATTCTGAGTCAATCAGAAAGCCGGAAATGTATTGATTTGGACCAACCACATTGAACGCCAAGACAGAAGAGACAAGAAGACGCCTGCATGCTAAGTAGACGAAACGCTTCGATCTGCAATGAATCTATCCCAAAAGTCACAGGTAGTCATAAAGTCGTTTGCAAAAAAAGGCAAAAAGAAAACAGATTAAACCTCCCCCTTCTGCTGCCTCCTGCTTCCCTCGGCTTTCCATACAAACCAAGCAACTACGATTGCCAACTTCAACGCCATCGCCAACCACAGACTCGCAGCCATGTTTGTCACCTTGCTCAACCCGCCCGCCGTCATGGCGCCCAGGAAGAGCGCCAGGAAGGCGCCGACACGGCGGTTCCGCCGCGGGTTGGACCTCCACCCGCGCGACAACAAGTCCTTGTCGACGAGCAAGTCGCACAGGAGTGTCGTCAGCACCACGGTCGGGATCTCGTCGAAGGCCAGGATTCGTGACGCCACGATCTGACCCGCGGCCTGGAATGAAAGTAACGAGATGGGGAGAATCTGCATCCATTGAATAGGGGCGCGGGGGTCCTCGGGACGCCGGCTGACAGTGCCCGTTTCGACGAGGACGGCGGCGGCCAGGAGGGCCAGAGTCTGCGCACCGAAGGAAAGGATGAGGGTCGAGCGACGGCGGGGGCCCAGCAGACGTGAGAAGTAGATGTAAACGACCATGGAGAGGGTGAAGACGGCGACGGCGACGAGGGACTTGGCCCAGAGGTAGGCTGGGTAGACTGGTTGGCCGCTGGCGCCCAGGGCGATGAAGACGGTGTTTCCTTCACGCTGTCAGTGGTTGATTGTATTCAAAGAAAACTTGGCCACAGACCGGTTTGCATGCTTGCAAAACTGCCCCAGGCGTTGAAGGAAAGGCCATCGACGAGCCCGCTCACGAAGCCGCAGACGATGAGGAGCAAATCGGTAGATTTGGTATTGATGTCCGCAGCAAAGTGCCGGATGAGGGTGGAGCGAAAACCCTCCGAGTCGGAGACTTCATCAGCGTGCTGAAGCGAGACAGCGGTACTGTGCCCGACAGACCAAAGACCAGGCTGGTCATTGGGGTCGTCCGGTTTGGGTGAAACGGTAAAGGCCATGTTCTATGGATCTATGAGGACACTTGTGAGCACGCTTGCTCGTGGAGCTGCTAACCTATTTATTGGCTCCAGAAATCTTTATTGATCGCCATTACGCAGGATTCAGGAATCCTCCCCCTTTTATGCATCCCCTCGAGTCCCCGACTGAGGAACGAGACAAACGGGCTGAAACGTCCCACCAGCCAAGATTGGGTTGAGAAGATGTGGGATGCTGACCATCCAGGACGATCCTTTCTTGTCACATCAGGAATATCTGTATATCCTCATCGGAACACGGCCGAGCCACCACCGGCCTCGTGGCTCGGAACAGCGCACCACGAATGGGGCTGGCAGATGGGTTACACTGCTGGCCGCCGAAGAGCAGAATCTGACGTCTAGAATCAGAATCGTCCCCGATCTGCCGTATCAGGTATCCTGAGCAAAGATTCAATATGACCGATCTCGTCAGTGTCCAGTTCCCGCGCCAATCACTTCAGATGCATCGCAAGCATCCCTCTTGGCGCTGCTTGGCACGATAACACTGCGGTGAGGATTCTCGCCCAGATTGTTGGCATCAACCAAGGTTTCAGCCTCCTTGGGCCTTGGATTCTCGCCGTGGGGACTGCCAAGCAGCCGGTTCAGGCATCCCCTCGTTTCCATTGACCCCAAACAGCGCCTGACGGATGATCTGGAGGTGGATGCTGATTGCTGACAGTGTTGGCCTTGGGCCCTTGGCTGCTCACTCGATACCTGAAGGCCGGACCATGGAAGATCCAATCACACCCAAAATCTTTTCCAGACGTCTGTTCAGGATACTATCAGGGGCTTAGCGATGAGAAAAGGAGAAAAGTTAGATAGGTAGGCCTTACGGGAGCCTAATTCCTTCATGAATCCTGAGCTTCTGCCCAGACTGGGCCATCCCGCGGATGCAGAGTTCAGATACCCCCTAGCCCAGCGCCAAGGGATGATCGCCATAAGATTGACAGACAAATCTATATAGTTGTTTTAGTGAGTCTTGTCCGAGACGTAGTGCTAACTGTAAATCTGCAATGCACTGTATGCACAGCCTCCGCCAGTATTCTGCTTTTGCTGAATACGAAAAAGATCAACCTGACTGGTAACAGCCAAGAAGTCAGGTGGGTAAACTCCTCGTAACTTGCCAAGAGCCTCGATCCATGTATCTCTGATTGGATGCTGTGAATGTTTATCTCTTGCTACGTCAGAATCCATTACCTTGCATGATAAGAAGAGTCGCCATCGGCTTGGACTCTTGAATCTTGAGGATGAACCGCTGAACCATGATGGGTGCCACCCCAGCAGCAATCCGATATTCGGACATTTGGATAATGACTGTCAATTGATGTCATTACTTTCTTTAGACTGCGTTGCGAGCAGGTATATTCCATCTTATTCGACTTGGCGACCATTCGACACTTCGTTATGCTTTGCCAAGTCTGTCATTGAAAGATCTCAGACTATGCATAGCGGCTCAACTTTCGTCGGATATCCTGGCATTGCCTAAAATGCCTAAAATGGCCATATCCCGAGTGCACGTCTTCTACTCTTCTAGTTCTCTGCTGTTCGATCCGGAAAGCTCTGGAAGATGCTAAATGTCAGAAGTCTGCTAGATTGGCTATTGTGGGGGATCTCTGAGACTATTGGAACATTACTCACTATTGATATAGCGGTTTTATACGCCTGTACCCCACGTCCCCACTACCCCTCGAAATATAGTGTTATCTAAGAGCATCAATATCTTACTAGGGACGGGCTAGCGGGAAACGACGATATCCCCTTTGGTTACCGACTTCCAATGAAGACCTTGGCGCTGCAAAGGGGGTCTATTAGTGCTACCTTCGGTTTCACGTTTGCGGGGTGGGCCCTATCTATTCATGATTGTGGTTGAATCCAGATCCTACTTATCTAAGCGGCTTTCGTACAGCATGAATGACCGATCAACTGCATTGCTGCCACGCGTTGATGCTAGTGGTGTAGACAGCATGCCTTATGACGCACATATAATAGGCTATGGCCGGAAACAGTTGTCTGCGAGAGATGTCCGCCAAGGCGACGATGTGAGATCGTCGTGTGTACTACCTGCGTAAACAGCCGCGAACGTTGAGGACAGGTGGCTATCATCCGGTAGTTACTCGTGCAGTGCACCCTCGCACAATTGTTCAAAGGCTGTCGTGATGAGCTCCAAACACGACGTAGACATCCGTGCGGTCGAGTCACACGACATCGACATGTAGTCAGGTTATTGTTCGGATTCGCTCTGCTCAGGCGAATGATATCCCCGGCTAGCCTTCCTCAACTCCCTCTCCAGCGCCTCGGTTAGCGCCTCCAGCAACCATTGCACCTCCGTCTTCTGTCCCAGCAACGGACTCTTGTAACCAGTCCAATCCCATTTCGGATTCCCTTCCTCTCCATCCGTTTCACCTCCTTCGCTGGCTATGAGATTAAGGAAATACTCCCACTCTTGGTAGTCAAACTCCTTGTGCAAATTGCGCGTGGCATAGTCCATCATCCTCCGTACTTCCCGGAATAACAAGTAGTGGTGGTGATGTATTGTTTCCGCAGTAACATCTCCCCGTGCCCGAGCCGATTCTTCTTTCTTGTGTTCGTCTGCCTCAATCGCGTTGCGCTCCTCCTCTTCTCCCTGGTCAGCCTGATCTGCGTTCTCGGCTGCCGTGACGGCAGCGGTGGCAGCAGCCTCCTCAACGTCCTCCTCGTCAGGCTTCTTGTCCGCAACAGCCTCGGTAAGAAATCTCTCCTTCCACGAAAGGCGGGACAGATCTTTGATCAATTCCCGGATAGGTTTATCACCAGGCAGAATTGTCAACTCGCCGAGGTAGATGGTGAAATCGCGGATCGTCCGTACCACCGTGTCACCAACGTTGGCAATGAGCAATGTCACCGTCGGAACAGCGAGCAACGTCCAAAAGACGAAGAATGACCGTTCCCATTCGGAAGTTGCGCGAAAGTCCCCAT